TGGTGTGAGGTATGGGTCTTGTTTCAGTTTTTTGCAGATGGATATCCAGTTATGCCAGCACCATTTGTTAAAGAGACTGTCTTTTCCCCAGTTCATGGACTTTGGGCCTTTGTCAAATAACAGCTGCTCATAGGTGGATGAATTTATGTCTGGATTCTCAATTCTGTTCCATTGGTCAATGTATCTGTTGTTGTACCAGTGAATTGAAGTATGTTTTGCTGTGTATATTCTCAACATCAACAAAATAAACAAAATTTGGGGGGGTGGGGAGAAGACTTCAGGGGATATTTTCGGTTTAAAGTTTAAATATTATCTCAGGGCAATACTTTCAGGGATTCATCCAGCCTCCATGGCTCCAAAAAGTCTGGATTCCATGAGAATTTGAAATTCTGTTGTGCATTTTTTCCCTTTTGATCAAAGATTCTTCTATAGAATCTTTGATCAAAATGTTCAGTAATAGTAGTTGGGCACCATCTAGTTCTTCAGGTCTCATGGCAAAGGAGGCAATTGTTCATGGAGGCAATTAGCCTCACATTCCATCTCCTCCTCCTATTCCTGACTCCCTTCTTCCTCTATTGCTCCAGGTGAATAGAGACCAAAACCAGAATTTCTTGAGGCTTCCTAGAGGATAGATTTTGGAGATACAGATATTAATCCACGTGACAAATGCTTACTGTGTGCTAGACACTGTATATTAATCACTGGGGACATAGCATTGATGAACAGAGCAAGGGATGGGGAGAGGGAGCTGAGGGTTGCAATTTAAAATAGGATGGTCAAGAGACCCCTTACTAAGAAGGGGACACTTAAATGAAGACCTCAAGGAGGTGAGGGAGAAAGCCATGCAAATATCTGGTTGAAGAATGGTCCAGGCAGAGGGAACAGCATGTGCAAAGGCCCTGAAGTGGAAGTGTGCCCAGCTAAGCCCAGAAACAGCTATGGAGTCAGTGGGGCTGGAGTGGAGTGGTTGATGGAGAAAATGGGAGGAGGTGAGATCTGTGGTCCATTGTAAAGACTTTGGCTTTTACTCTGAGATGGGAAGCCTGGAAAGAATCCATGGAGCATTCCAGGCATAGGGAACAGCAGCTACCCCGTTACTGCTCTCCCTTGAGATGGCCAAAAATAAGCATGTCAAACAGCATTACAAACACAGTTGCAGCCCTTAGGTGCTGTAGAATAAAGGTGGAAGTAAGAATTGGTGCACTCACTTAGGAGAGCAATTTGACAATGTCTTGGGAGATACAGAAGCCCTGGTGGCATAGTGATTAAGAGCTCGGCTGCTAATCAAAAGATTGGCAGTTCGAATCCACCAGCCATTCCTTGGAAACCCTATGGGGCAGTTCTACTCTGTCCTATAGGGTCGCTGTGAGTCGGAATCCACTTGAAGGCAACATGTTTAGGGAGATACACATGCCATCCACAAAGCAATTGTACAATAAAAGGCAAAAAACAACCAAACCGGTTGCCTTGGAGTTGATTCCAACTCATAATGACCCTATAGGACAGAGTAGAACTGATCATAGGGTTTCCAAGGCTGTAACCTTTACAGAAGCAGACTGCCACATCTTTCTCCTATGGAGCGCCTAGTTAGTTCGAACCTAGCAGCTGAACACTTAACCACTGTGCCACCAGGACTCCTTCCACAATTAGATGTCAAGAAATCGTCACTTGTGAGCCCAAGGGCACAGGTTCAAGTTCACCGCAGCGGTATTTGTAACAGCAAAATATCAAAAGCAATCTAAATGTCCATCAACAGAGCATAGACAAATCAATGGCTCTATATTCACACAATGGAATTTTAGACAGGGGTTAAAAGGAAGGAACAACAGTTGTACGTATTCATTCAATAATAGTTTATCACATGCCAAGCCCTGCAACCCCATGAAGTGGTTGACATAATGATACCCATTTTACAGATGAGCAAACTGAGTCATGGAGAAATTAAGTTACTTGGTCACCGAGCTAGGAAGGAGCAGAAGTCAGGCAGGCATACAGGCCCAGAAACATAAGGTTGGATGAAAAACAGAAAGCTGCAGAAAGATATGTACATACAATATATATGATATATACAGAGTATTAAACTAATTATAGAGAACAAAAGCGTGTTAAAACAATATGATGTATGAAGACATGGTTGACTCTGAACAAGGCAAGGGATGTGGTTAGAGCACCCAAGAGCCATAACTGTGTTTGGAATGCTTCCTTTTTTTAAAAAAAAAAAACTATATTTTAATGAAAAAAAAAAATCTGATCATCAAACACTAATTACACCAAAAACAAGTGGCAATATCTTAGCACACATACTGACTTCACACAGACTAAAAGGAGTATGCCAACAACTGGTGGGCTGACAATTTATCACAGGAAAACAGTTTCCGTTTGTGTTCTTGATGGCGTCCTCCTAAAACACAGCATTTTGGAAAGAAATCTTCAGTGATTCACCAATAATGGTTTTTAAGATTCCTAATGAGAATGACCATCAGGTAGGATTTAATTGTTATCCTATTAATATTACCATATATAATATTTTTGTTGTTGTTGTTAGTTGCTGTCAAGTTGGCTCCAACTCCTGGCAATCTTATATATAAGAGAATGTTGTCTGGCCCTGCACCATATTCATGATAGTTGGCATACTCAAGTCCATTGTTGCGGTCAGTATATATTTTGAGTGCCTTCCAACCTAGGGGTCTCATCTTCCAGCGCTATATCAGACAATATTCTGTTGTGATCCAGGGCTAATTTTTGGAAGTAGATCACCAGGCCTTTCTTCCTAGTTTGTCTTAGCTGGAAGCCCCATATAAAGTGATGTATTATATATATATATTTTATATAAAATTATATATAGTAAACATTTTATATAAAATGGTTGTCACTGAAGTTTATCCAAGAGTATTCAGCCAAGAAAAGTAAAAAAACAAAACAATTATTACTCTATAATATTATAGAAGTTTTTCAAGCAGTTAATTCATAAACATATTATGAAGGAGACTTGGTGGCGCAACAGTTAAATGCTTGGCTGCTAACGATAAAGATTAGAGCCTAGAACACCCTATGGGGAAGTTCTACTCTGTCACATGGGGTCGCCATAAGTTGAAATCGACAACAGCCACGACCTTCTCTATGTATCTCACAGTCTTGCTTCTAGCATCATAGTCTTAACTGTCATATCAGCATATCACCTTAAGATATTACGTTGCTTTTTTCTGGGAAAAAAAAAATGAGCAAAGACAGGTGCCTCAGGGAACTGAAATAATAGATGTCCTTATTTTTAAGCTAGTTTTGTCACAGTTTCTGTTATTGATAGCGACGAGCATCTCAACTGGATCTCCAAGGTAGTGAGAGGTCAGGGAGGAGGCTGGGATGAGGCGCCGGTAAGAGAGGAAAAAACCTGAGCTGGGGCTGGGGCCCAATGGGAGTAAAAGAAGGGTCAAACTCAAGGGGAAGTTGAAGACTTAGCCCTCATCCCCATCTCTCCCAAGGTGACAAGAACGATTATGGACTTTCTTGGACGTGGGACACACCTTCTAGAGGGGACCTGGCCAAGGGCACCCCCACTGCACGCATACCTGGACTCACTCTCACCACTGGCACCACCAGGAGCCCAGGCCACCCCTTTCCAACACCAAGGGTCCATGGGGACACAGGTGAGGGGTGTGGCTGGGTCGAGGGGACAAGGCTGCATGTGCTGAGGGTAGAGAGATGGGCTCCACATTCCTCAATGCTGACCCAACTCTTGACGCCAGAAGGACCCAATGGAAATGTACCCTAAAACCCCCACATCCCCCCACGCACTCACCACTGCACTCCACGCCTACTTGTAGCGAAGGACGCCAGGTGGCGCCTGGGGACACCCGAGGAGGCGGGGAGGTGGGAGCTTTAGGGGCGCGTGAAGTCGGCCGGTGACTCATGACGTCAAAAGGCCCTGCGCCTTCCCATTGGTCGGTCCGTCCCTGTGTTTCGGCTTCTTTCCAGCGTGGGTGGGCGGGGCGGGACGGGACGCAGGTGGGCGGGGCGGGCTGACCTCAGACCGTCCGTCCGTCTTTTACTCCTTTTCCAGGTTCCGCTACGAAGCCGTGGTCCGAGCGCCGACTGCGACCCACTGCAGCGAGGACAGCGCTCCCCACCCCTTCCCCAGCTCCCCCCGCCTCACCGGGGCTTCCTGGCCCACCGCTGACCTCTGATTCTGCCCCCCAGGTGACCTCTGAGCCATCAGCTTCAAGGCAGGAGGTCACCTCCTACCCTCCTGACACTTCGCCACCGACCATTAACCCTGCCTCCTGGATGAACCCTGACCTCGCTTCGGCAACTCCTGACCTTGCTTTGTCCACTCATGATTCCACTGTGGTTTCAGACCTGACTCCGGAGCTCTCATCCACCCCACCACCCACCTTGCCCAAAGAGCTGACCTCTGACCCGTCTGCACCTGCCAAGCTGACCACTCTTCCCCCTACCTCAGAGCTGACCCCAGAATCTCACACAACCCCAGACTTGGACACAACTTCATACCCCGACACAATCCCAGAATCTTCCAGATCCCCAGACCCCTCCACAAGCCCTCACCCCACCACAAGCCCTCACCCTACCACCACCACCACTCGCCCCACCACAAGCCCTCACCCCACCACAAGCCTTCACCCCACCATCACCACCACTCACCCCACCACAAGCCCTCACCCCACCACCACCACCACAAGCCCTCACCCCACCATCACCACCACTCACCCCACCACAGGCCCTCACCGCACCACCACCACTCACCCCACCACAAGCCCTCACCCTACCACCACCACCACTGACTCCATCACAAGCCCTCACCCCACCACCACCACTCACCCCACCACAAGCCGTCACCCCACCACCACAACTCACCCCACCACAAGCCCTCACCCCACCAGCACCACTCACCCCATCACCACAAGCCCTCACCCTACCACCACCACTCACCCTACCACAACCTCTCACTTCACTGTGACCCCTCACCCCAACACCACCACTGCTGGCCCCACCACAATCCCTCTGCCCACCACAACTTCTGACCCCACCACAACACCTATGAGCACTACTAAGTCCCTTCCAACCTCCTTACAGACAGAGCTTCCCTCTCCCACTCTAGCACTGGTGGTGAAGCCCAGCCTGTTCCCCCAGTTGACCTCTATGGGGGCCCCTCACCCCTCCACATCCCAGATGCAGAGCCTAGGTCCTTCTCCAGCCTCGGAGTCCAGCCCCTCCAGGCCTTCTCCAGCCCCAAGCATGGACCCACTGTCCACTGAGGACTTCAAACCACCCAGAAACCAGAGCTCCAAACTAACCTCTCCACCTACGCAGAACCCACTCTCAGCCTCTGATTCCACCATGAGTCCTGACCTCCACCTCTTCCCCACGGCCCACCCCTTGGATCAACCTCCCCGTGATCACGTCTCTCTAGGACATACCCCTGGTCAAAGCCCAGGCCCCTTTGGCCCATGCATGGCCCCAACACCACCTGTAAGGGTCATGGCTTGTGAGCCACCTGCCCTGGTGGAGCTGGTGGCCGCTGTGAGGGATGTGGGTGCCCAGCTGCAGAGGCTGACTCAGGCCCTGGAGCAGGACCAGCAAGAGCGCCAGGCCTTGGGGCTGGGGCTGAGCCAGCTGGTGGAGGCCACCCAGGGTCTGCGGCAGTTGGGTGAGGTGGTGAGGAGACTGGCAGAGGTAGCCTGGCCCCTCAGCACATCCTTGCCAACCACCACCTCCCCGGAGGAGGAGGAGGAGAGGCCTCTGAGGGGGGATGTGTGACTCTCTGGGGTATAGAGGGCTTGATACCAACAGGCCATTCTTGCCACTTACAACCCCCCTGCCCCCCCAAAAAAATCTAAATAAAAGGATGTGAATGACAGTTTCCAGGGGACTAGAGGAACCCTGGAGAGATAGAATCACAAGATTGATCGTGATTTAGGAATACCACAGGTGCCACGACAGGTGATGATGATGATGATGATGATGATGGTCATGGTGATTATGATGGTGAAGATGGTGATGATGATGGTAATTATGATGAGGATGATAGTGATGATGGTGATGATTTTGATGGTAAGGATGATGATGGTGAGGATGATTATGATGGTGAGGACAGTGATGATGGTGATGATAATGGTGATGATGGTGATGATGATGATAAGAATTGTGGTGACAGTGATAATCATGATGATGATTATAGTGTGGAGGAGGAGGATGGTGAGGAGGGTGATGATGATGGTGAAGGTAATGATGACAGTGATGATGATGATGGTGATGAAGATGACCACTATAGTAGTGATGACAGCAATGATGAAGTCCCACAAGGGCAGAAACCTTTGTCTTGTTCACTGCTGTATACCCTGCTTTTAGAACAGAACCTGACACAGAGGTTGCACTCAATAAATACCTTTTGAATGTATGAGTGCATAATAATAATTATGACTAATATTTGTCAGGCGCTTTCTATGCGTCAGGCTCTGTTTTAAGGTCTTTGCACACATTATGTTGTTTCATCTTCACGACGGCCCGCTGAAGGGAGCGCTGTTAGCTCAGCAGATAAGGGGGTTAAGCTTTGGATCCCCAATGCCTGCGTTGGAGACCTTGCTGAGTGCGAACCTGAGAAGTTACTTAACCTCTCGGTGTGAGTTTCTCCAGCTATAAATGTTGTTGGGTGCTGTCTAGTCGATTCGACTCGTAGCAACCCCATGTGACAGAGTAGAACTGCCCCGTAGCGTTTCCTAGGCTGTAATCTTTAAGGGAGCAGATCACCAGGTCTTTTTCCTATGGAGCCACTGGTGGGTTTGAAGCACCAACCTCTCAGCAGCTGAGCACTTGACCATTGTGCCACTGGGCTCCTTATGTACAGTTCGGTGACCTTAAATATGTTCATCATGTTGTTTAACCCTCACCATTCCCAAATTTTTCCATTACCCTTCACAGAAGCTCAGCATCCGCTAAGCATTGTGCATCAGTGCTCTTAACTGCTGCTGCTTCTCTGTGCCTGCCCCTGTGTAGACTCTTAATACGCTATATGCAGTCCTCACCAGGAGTTCCTGGGTGGCACAAGTGGTTAAGGGCCCGACTACTAGCCAAAAGGTTGGTGGTTCAAGTCCACCCAGAGGCGCCTTGGAAAACAGGCCTGGTGATCTGTTTCTGAAAAGTCACAGTCTTGATAACCCTATGGAGCAGTTCTATTCTGCACACATGGGGTCGCCATGAGTTGGAATTGACTTGACGGCAGCTAACAACATCAGCGGTCCTTACCACAGCCCTTATAGGGAGGAACATGTCTCAATTTCAAAAAGGACACCTTTCCCAGAGCCACACAGCAGAGCCAGGATTCAAACCCAGAACAATGTTATGTGAACTCCCCAGCTTTTGCCACAGCCTGGGGTCCTTCTCACACTCCCACTGTGTGACCTTGGGCAGGTGCCTTACCCTCTCTGTGCCTCCTCTGTGCTTTGGCTTGCTGGTCTGTCAATTGGGGGCCAGCTTGGAAAACTCAAACTCCTAACCTGGCCCCTGCAGCCTCAGGTAAGAAACCCTCCCCACCTCCTCCTCTCCCCAGACTGAAGCCTGGCTTGGAGGTCATGGAAAGTCACAGAGGCTGGTGCCCCACAGTCTGCAAAGGCCAGCGGGGTCCAGTTACTCACCAGGGGGTGGGGAGGGTGGTGATGTGTGGGGGTCCTGATGGATGGACTCTCTGCCCCTGGCCAGTGGCAAAGGAGCACGAGAATTCTCCCTTCCCCAGATCTCATTAAGCCCCGAGACTTAAATAACTGCTGACTCTCACCCTGGGGAGGGCTGAGGAAGGGCTTCTGCCTGCCTTCCCATCCCGGGGGCCAGAAGGTGGCACCCCAATTCGGAAGAAAAGATCGTCTTTTCCATTTCCAGGTGGGAGCCAGTGACTCCTGGCTTTTGGCTACCTTAAAAAGGGACCAGAGGGTTCAGTTTACGGTTCAGGCTCCTGGTCCCTCTCTGCAAGCCAGAGCTTGCAGGGGCTGTCCGGCACTCCGGCCCAAGGTTCCTCCACCCCCTGCTGCCCTCTGCCAGCCCCAAAGAAGTGGGTGCTTAATTACTGGGTCACTCTATCCCTGCTTGGCTAGGCAGCTAAGCCCAAACATCTGGCCCCAGGGCCCAAGACCAGGCTGGGTGGCCAACCCCACCCACTGCTGGCCCTGACCCTGGATGCCTCCCATGGGACAGCTGAGACTGATCCTGTGTCCACCAGCTTGCAACAGGCCCAGAACAGTAGCTACCAAGGCCTAACAAGCTCAGATGCTGAAAAATCATCCAACAAAACTCAACACGTATTCACAGGTTACAAACACCAAAAACTCTTAGCCAAGTAGAGCAGAGGGAACTTCCTAAGCCAGAAAAAGAGTGGGAAGAAAGACACTATGTGACATTTTCCATGTACAACAGGATTGTTTACATGAAAAATCCAGAATAATTGAGTGGACAAATTGTTAGCCGGATTAATATTCTATTGTATGCATATACCACATTTTGTTTATGCGTTCATCTGTTGATGGGCATTTGTATTGTTTCCACTTTTTTGGCTGCCATTAATAGTGTAACTATGAACAGTTGTGTACAAGATTTTGTGTGGACATGTTTTTATTTCTCTTGGGTAAATAATTAGGAGTGGAATTGCGGAGTCATATAGTAATTCTGTGTTTAACTTTTTGAGGAACTGCCAAATTGTTTTCCATAGTCACTGCACCATCTTACACTCCCACTGACAATGCCCGACGGGTTCCAGTTTCTCCACATCCTCATCAACACTTGTTAATGTTGTTTGATTACAGTCATTCTGTTGGGTGTGAAGTGGTCCTGAAGGCTTTTGCAATCTTACTTCTCTGTCTTTGCCATTCAGGTGCCCCCATTCCAGTATCCTCTGAGGGAGGGATGAGTGCCTCACCAATGCACCAGCACACACTCACACTTTCACACACTCATTCTTACACATACACAGTCACACACACTCACACCCTTACACCCACACATTTTCACATATACTCACACATTCTAACACACACTGTCATATACTCTCACACATTCACTCACTCACACACTCAATGTTCTCACATACTTGCGCAGACTCATATCCACACTCTCACACATACTAACACACAGACTCACACACATATACTCTCATACATGTACACATTGACTCACACACACACACTCACATATAACCCACTCCCTCCCTCACACACTCACATAGACTCACACACACTCACAAGATTGTCACACTCACACTCTCACACGCACTTGCATCTATGCTTACACACACTCACTGTCTCACACACACAGACTCACACTCCTACACATTCACCCTCACACACACACTCACATATACACTTATACACACTCACATACTCACTGTCCCACATACTCACACAGACGCTCATACTCACATAATTCACTCTCACACACTCACAGATTCTCACACTCACGCACATTCACATATACACTTACACACACTCCCATACACTCACACTCTCACACACTCACAGACTCTCATATTCCTGTATACACCCACACACACACTCATAGACCCTCACATACACAGTCACTTTCACACAAACTCTCACACTCACACACCCTTTTACACTAACACAGCCACACTTACCCACACATTCTCACACACACTCACACATCCCCAGTCCCCCTCACAGGGTCCTCCCCCTACCCCCTTCACCTGCTGATGATGGCTGCAGTGTAAGATCAGGGACCCTGGCCTCAAGCAGATCGGGGTTCAAATTCCAGCTCCACTACTGGCCTGCTGTGTGAGCTCCGGCAAGTACCTTGGCTGCTCTGAGTAGCTGGCACCCCATTTGTGAAAAGGGCAGAATTCAAGGGACCGCCTTTAGGAAAGGAGGAGTCAATGCCTTCAGCCTGGAGGGGAGCTACTTTATGAACAAACTGCAGAATTAGCACTGCCGCCACCTCAACTGCCAGCACAAGTTAACACCCCTGGTAGCTTCCCCCTTCACCCCCTGTCCCGTCTCCTCGCCCATCTCACCCTGCTCCACCCTCATCCCAGACACCTCCAGCTTTTTTTGGGGACACATTCTTGGCCTCATTGCTTGGGCTATTTCAGATTCACGGGTAAGGTGGTGGCAGAAGGTCCTGATACATGTCCCCCTCCCCCATCACCTTGTACTCGGAGGAACTTCTACTCCAGGAAGCCCATCTGGATTGCCCAGAAAGGACAGGGGCTCACGTTCCTTCTCTGGTGTGAACCTTGATTCAAAGGGTCCTGGGGGAGGGTCACTCCATACATGCAACCCCCCCTAGACAACACCTTGGCAGCCACAGCAGGGTATAGGGGTTGTAAGGGCCAGGGAGAGGGCGACACACGATCCAGCCCTGAGTTGTAGCCTAGTTCTGGGCTGGCAGCCAAGGAGAGCACGGGAGAGGAAGAGAGAGTGTTTGCAAACAGGGCAGCTGCCAGGAAGGGGCCCAGGCAAGGGGGGGGCAGGTGTGAAGGAGAGAGGGGCCCAGGTGGTGACTGGCAGCGGTGCCTGCGTGACCTTTCTTCTTCTCCACACACACACACACACACACACACACACACACAAACACAGGTCCAAGGTGTCATAGATATGCAAACACAGGATCCAATTCCCACATACGGAGACACATGCAAACCCTCATCCTCTTTCTCTCTCTCTAATACACACACACACACGCACAATTACTTATACACACACAAACACACACAGGCTCAAACACACAAAATCATATTATCATCCACCCACAGAGACACAAATTCTCATTCTCTCTCATAAATACACAAAATGCACAAAATCATATTATCATCTACCTACAGAGAGACACAAACTCTCTATCTCTCCTCTCTCACACACACCATTATGTATACACACACACAAGCTCAAACTCACATGTTGTTAGTTGCCAAAATGCACAAAATCTTATTACCATCTACCTACAGAGACACAACTCCTATTTTATCTCTCTCTCTGTCTCACATAATTACTTATACACATATATACACATAGGCTCAAACTCTCATAGAAACACAAAATACATAAATCACATTATCGTCCACCTATGGCGAGACACATTCAAATCTTCATTCTCTTTCTCTCTCACACACACACAAACACAGACATATACACAATAACTTATGCACACACGCAGGCTCAAACTCTCCTGTTGTTGTTGTTAGTTGCCATCGAGTCGATTCAGACTCATGGCGACCCCATGTGTGCAGAGTAGAACTGTTCCATAGGGTTTTCAAGGCTGTGACCTTTCAGAAGCAGATCAACAGACCTGTCTTCCAAGGCGCCTCTGAGTAGTTTTGAACTGCCAACCTTTTGGCTAGTAGTTGAGCACTTAACCATTTGCACCACCCAGGGACCCCCAAACTCTCCTAGACACACAAATACACAGAAATACACACTGCAACACACACAGGGGTCAGAGATCATTTGAGGAACCATCTACAAGACAAGGAATGCCAAGAAACGTCCGGGGCTACTGACAAGGAAGTGCCCTCCCCTAGAGCTGATGCCCTGATTTGGACTTCTAGCCTCAGAAATTGTGAAGCTATAAATTTCTGGTCTTTAAAGCCACCCACTTTGTGGTATTTTTGCTACAGCAGCACTAGGTAACTAAGATGAGGCACATCATAAAAAGGGTGGCAACCCAACATATGGGTTGAAGAAAATCGTGGAGGGAGTTAAGTGGGAGAGAAACTCAGTAAGACAGAAAAAAAGAAAAATGAAGGCAGGAGCCAAGGATGAAGAGCTAACGAGGACACTGAGATGAGACCTGAAGAAACAGGTGGGTTCATTTATTTGACAAATATCTACTGACCATCTACAGTGGGCCAGAGATCGCTCCAGATACGTGGGATACATCAGTGAACAGGACAGGCAAAGATCCCTGTTCTCCAGGAGTTTACATTCCTGCAGGACAATACAAAATAACCACAATAAATGTTATTCAGTTAGAAGGAGTGAGTGCCATGGGACAAAGGGAAACAGAGTAGAGCGGGGGAGTCCATACTGAAGTTGTCAAGGATTTCGTTTTACTTGGATACACAATCAATGCCCGTGGAAGCAGCAGACAAGAAATCAAACCATGTATTGCATTGGGCAAACTGCTGCAAAAGACCTCTCTAAAGTGTTAAAAAGCAAAGATGTCACTTTGAGGACTAAGGTGCACCTGACCCAAGCCATGGTATTTTCAATCTCCTCATATGCATGCGAAAAGCTGGACAACGAATAAGGAAGACCAAAGAAGAATTGACACCTTTGAATTATGGTTGGTGAAGAATATTGAATATACCATGGACTGCCAGAAGAATGAACGAATCTGTCACGGAAGAAGTACAGCCAGAATTCTTAGAAGCAAGGATGGTGAGACTTCGTCTCATGTATTTTGGACATGTTATCAGAAGGGACCAGTCCTTGGAGAAGGGCATCATGCTTGGTAAAAAGAGGGTCAGTGAAAAACAAGAAGACCCTTGATGAGATGTATTGACACAGTGGCTGCAGCAATAGGCTCAAACATAGCAACTATTGTGAGAATGGTGCAGGAATGGGAAGTGTTTCGTTCTGTTGTACATAAGGTCACTATGAGTCTGAACCGATTCAAGGCATCTAACGACAACAACAAGGAGAGTTAGAAATGCAAAGTTAGAGGCAGGTTGCAGTACTACATTGGGTGGTCACAGCAGGCTTCACTGAAAAGGTGGGATTTAAGCAAAGATTTGCAGGAGGTAAGGGAATGAACCAAGAGCATTGCAGGCAACAGGAACAGCAAGTGCAAAAAGCCTGGGGTGGGTGGAAACAGATATGAATAGAGACTCTCAGACCAAGAGAGGGAGATACAGGTGGTCTCCAACTTACAACATATTGGAGTTAGGATGACGAACCACACTTACGATGTCTTTTTTTTCTTTTTTACATCTTATTTTTAGTAATATGTACTACGTATAATGTTGCAGCGTGTAATTTGCTGGTGTTATCATTCTCAGATGTTCACTCGCAGAGGTTCAATGTTAAGATTTACTGTTCAAAACACTGCCATATAGCAGGCTATGAAAACTAAAAAAAAAGAAAAAAAGGTATTCTACTTAAGTCAGAACCAAGTTACAACGGAGTTGTCCGAACAGAGCCCGTCGTAAGTCGAGGACTACCTATAGCGTGCAGACACAAGAGATAAGAATGGCAGGGAGGGGAAAATACTAAGAGACAGCGATGAAAACAGACAGAAGAGAAACCAAAGGCCACCAAATGAACACTGAGAAGACCTCAGAATGTGGGACCAATTTCCCTTTCTGAGTCTCCCCAGGTCAGGGTGGTATGCCACTCATTTCTACCTGTCTTCCCTCCCCAGCTCTTCTCACTATCTGTCTTCCTCTTTCCCCTTTCCCACATCTTCACCTTCCCCCTCCCGCTGCCTCCAGGGCTGGCCCAGGTAGCCTCTGACGGAGCTCACGGGACACCTCTTTCGGGGGTGAGGGTCCAGTAGCCCCCACAGCAGAGCATCTGCCACAGGCGTCAGGCCGAACCAGGGCTTCGGGCGGTCCTGGGGCTGGCCCGAGGCCTGCCAGATGAGGAAGTCCTCATAGAAAGGGTCAGCCTCCGCCAGGGGCTGGTCCCAGGGGAAGTAGCCAGTGAGGAGGCAGAAGAGCAGAACCCCCAGAGCCCAGGCGTCCAGGGCGGGTTGGATGGGCAGGCCCTCGGGAAGAGGCGGTGGGCCACAGAGCTCAGGGGCCGTGTAGGGAATGGGCGGCCCGGCAAGGCGGAGCAGGGTCCCACGAGGCCGCGTGTGGCCGAAGTCGGTCAGCTTGACGCCCTGGCAGGCCGGGTCACACACCAGTACGTTCTCTGGCTTGAGGTCTCGGTACACCAGGCCATGAGAGTGGATGTGCTCCAGGGCCGAGGCCAGCTGGGCTGCACAGCGCTGGGCTGCCGGCTGTGGGAGGCCCACCTGTGGGGAAGAGGCTGTCAGGGTCCCCTCCACCTGCGCTGAAGGCTAGAGCGGGGCTGAGAAAAGATAGCTTCTCCTCAGCCCCAGGAAGCAGGTCCAGGGAGACTTAGGGAGAATTAAGGAGGTCAGGAAGAATCAAGGAACTCAAAAAGACTGGGCCAAATGAGACGCAATGTGACTCTGTGAGGCCCAGTCCCCCAGTGCGGCCTAGTGGGAGCCCATGAGGCCCAGTGCCTCCCAGCGTGGCCTAATGGGAACCTGTGAGGCCTGGTGTGCCCCAATGAAGTCCAATGTTACTAGGTGAAGCCTAGTCAATCTCAATTGGGTGTAGTGTCGATTCTGGGATGTCAGTGAATTCCAAAGAGACCCGACTTTTCAGTGAGAGCTGTGAGGCCCAATGAGACACCTCCAGGGTCTAAGTGAGGCCCAAACCAAAAAAAAAAAAACCAGTTGCCATCGAGTCAACTCTGACTCATAGCGACCCCTTATGGGAGCAGAACTTCCCTATAGGGTTTCTTAGGCTGTAATCTTTACAGAATCAGATTGCAAGGCTTTTTTCTGTGGCACTGCCAAGTGGGTTTGAACACTAACCTTTAGGTTAGCAGTCAAGCGTGAACTGTTTCCACCATCCAATAGTGAGGCGCAGGTGGTTCGGGTGCATTTCTGTGAGGCCCTGCAAAGCTCTCTGAGGCAGGGTCAGACTCACCTACCCACCTTGGGCTGAATGAAGGCGATGAGGTCCCCATGCAGAATGGGCTCCGTCAGGAAGCTGTAGGAGTCAGCTGACTCAATGCCAATGCCATAGACAGCCACGATGGCGGAATGGGTGCCCAGTGACAGGCCAACACAGAACTCATACAGGAAGCCACGGAGGGAGGTGGAGGCCTTCGGGAGTTGCTTCAATGCCATAGATGTGCCTGAAGGGAGGAGGGAGCAGGTGAGGGGAGTGGGAGAACAAAGGGGTCACACGGGCCAGTTTTATGGATTGAATTGTGTCCCCTAAACAGGTAGACTGAAGTCCTAACCCCTTGCTATGGATTGAATTGTGTTTCCCAAAACTATATGTTGGAATCCTAACCCCTGTACCTGTGGATAGGAGTGCCTGGATGGCGCAAACAGTTAAGCACTTGACTACTAGCTGAAAGTCTGGTGATTCCAATGCACCGAGAGGTGCACTGGAAGACAGGCCTGGTGATCTGCTTCTGAAAGGTCACAGCCTTGAAAACCCTGTGGAGCACAGTTCTACTCTGCAACACATAGGGTTGCCATGAGTCGGAATGGACTTGGAGGCAACTAACAACAACAACATACCTATGGATGTGATTCTGTTTGGGAATAGGTTTTCCTTTGTTATGTTCATAAGGCCATATCAGTGTAGGGTGTGCCCTAAACCTAATTCTAAGTTTCATACATATTGTTATGGATTGAATTATGTCCCCCACAAAGATATGTTGGAGTCCTAACCCCGTACCTGTGAATGTGGCTGTACTCATTTCCTAGGGCTGCTGTAGCAAAATACCACAAATTGGTGGCTTATAGGAATAGAAATTTATTCTCTCACAGTTCTGTTACTAGAAGTCCTAATCAAGGTGTCAGCCAGGCCATACTCCATTAGAAGGCTCTAGGGGAAGATCCTTTCTTGTTTCTCTCAGCTTCTGGTAAACTTGGCTTGTCATAACAATGACCTTGTTTGGAAACAAGGTCTTTGAAGCTGTTACCAGTTAACATGAGGACATACTGGAATAGGGTGGGTCCTAGTCCAATACGAGTGGTGACCTTATAAAAGAGGGAAAGAGACACAGAGATAGACAGAGAGGGACGACAATCATGTGATGGCAGAGGCAGAGATTGGAATAATGTTGTAGCTTCAAACCAGGGCTTCAAACCAGTTCTAAATGGTTCAGTCACAGCCGATGGAAACAAGAGCAGTACTACATGTTGCATAGCAACCAAATCTCTTGCACATTGGCTTTTGACCTGAGTAGGAAACAGGCAGTGCTGCCTTGCTCAAAGACAGCAGCCAACTGTGCCTCTTTGAATGTGTGTCCCTCTCCACAGTCTTGCCAATGATCCAATCTCCTGCATCAGGAAACTTTTAGGAGCCAATAATCCACTTTCCAGCATCAGGAAACTTTCAGGGGCCTAATGGCAATGGGTTTTGGTTTTATTCCTGTTTTGTGGGAAGGATGGAGGATGACAGTATGCTTGGCATAAAGGTACCAGATGAGAGGGAGTGTTATGGGTTAAATTGGGTCCCCCCGAAATTTATGCTGAAGTTCTAACCCCTGGTATCTGTGAATGTGACCTTGTTTAGAAATAGGGTCTTTGAAGATAAAATTACTTAAAGTTAATATGCGGTCACACTGGAGTAGAAGGAGCCCTAGTGCTGCAACAACTAAGCACTCAGCTGCTTCCTGAAAGGTCAGTAATTTGAACCCACCCAGTGGCTCCACAACAGAAAGACCTGGCAATCTGCTGCCATAAAGATTACAGCTGAAAAACCCTATGATGCAGTTCTACTCTGCAATGTGGGGTCGCTATGAGTCAGAACAGCACCCAACAATAGGACTGGAATAGGGTGGGTCCTAATCCAATCTGAGTGATGTCCTTATAAAAGAGAAGAGACAGAGAAACAGGGAAAATGGCCATGTGACTACGGAGGCAGAGATGGAGTTAGGCTACAGCTGCAAACCAGAGAAGCTGAGAAAGAGACGGACTGATCTTCACCTATAGCCTCGGGAGAGCATGAACCTGCCGACATCCTGAGTTTGGACTTCTAGCCTCTAAATTTCTGTTTGTATAAGCCACCCAATTTGTGGTCTTTTGTAGGGCAGCCTAGAATACTACTACAAGGGTCACTAGTATGGCATACCCACTGTGTGCCAGCCTTACTTAGTGCTTGGTGGACACCATCACTCAGGATAATCCCCACGGTGACCACGAAATCGGCCAGATGTGAGAACTATGAAGGCAGGAACTCTGTTTAACTTCCTATTGTCCCCAGCAACTAGAACAATCAAGATACACTCAGAGAATCAACACTGTTTTCAGGGTAGGAATCATCATACATTTGCAAAGAAGAAAGACTCTCTAGAAAGGTCAAGGGAGTCCCCAAGATCACACAGCATGGAAGGGGCAATGGTAAGACACGACTCAGGTCGACCAGACAACCCAGACTTGCTAGCTTCCCCCTGAGCCCCCACCCCCCCACCATACCTCTGTCCCCAGGCCCTGGTACCTTTTTGGCGGTGGGTGACCAGCAGGACCCGGCCGAAGCGGCCCTGGCCCAGGGGACGCACTTCCTGGTACAGTTCGTCCACCTCAGCCCGGACAAGGGTCTGGGCACTTAACGCCATCATGTCCTCCAGTGCCAAGGCAGCCTCCTGGCCCTGCCGAAGCTCCTCTGCTGTAAGGCCCCCCAGGCCCTCCTGAGCCCCATCCTTGGCAGCCCCCACCTCCACCTGTTCCTCTTCTGACTGTTTGCCGGGCATTGCTGTAGGGGCAGACACAGATGGAGTGACTAGAGTGTGGTCTGCAAGACCTGGGGTCCAGGGAGGAAGGGCTGGGAGCTGGATTCCTGGGTCTGAGGGAGGACGGGGCTGGGGTCTGGATTCCAGGGATCTTTGGGGAGGAGAAGGCTGGGATTCAGAATCCTGAATCCCTTGGGGAGGAGGGAACTGTGAACTTGGATTCCTGGGTCTGAGGGATAAGAAGACTGGGAAGCCCAACACCAAGGACTTTTGAGGAAGAACGGGCTGGGAACCCATACTCCTGAATCTCTGGTGAGGAGTGGCTGGGTGCCTGGACTCCTGGGTCTAGGGAGGAGGAGCTGGGGCCGTGACAGGTAGACCTCAAGCCTCTCGAAGGCTTAGGAAAGATCCCAAGTCCTCACTCCCCTTCAGGACCCAGGCGTCCCCGGCTCTGGTGAGGGCAGCTCCGCCCTCTGCAGCCCCTGGGGGCAGAGAGCACCTGTTTGCTCTTAGGAGACAGAAGCTACTCCTCCACCCCAGTGGCCTAAGTCTGTTTGCTTTGGAAACAAGGTTGGGGGTGTCTCGAGTTATCTGGTTCATCTTTCACCCTCAGGCCATCAAGTGGCACAGGGATGTGGGGGCGGGGTCGAGGGACATTTTTGACCTCAGGCGTGACCTCACCTCGCACCAGGAACTGGCCTGCCTGCTCTTCAGACACCTGAAATGAAAAGGGAGACTGAGTCACAATAGGTCCCCAGGTCCCTCTACCCTTGAACCAGCAGTCAAGGTCCCTAATCCCCATGTTCCTCAGATTCACGAGTCCGGACCCCCAGCCCCTCCCTCCCTCCGACCCAGGAGTACCGGGAGACCCTCCTCCTTCAGACCCAGGAGTCCTAACCCCCAGCCCCATCTCCCTCAGACCCAGGAGTCCTGACCCCCAGCCTCTCCTCCCGTACACCTAGGAGTCTAGGCCCCCAGCCCTTCCTCCCTCAGATCCAGGAGTCCAGACCCTCAGCCTCCTCCTCCCTCAGACCAAGAGTCCTGACCTCCAGCCCCCTCCTCCCTCAGACCCAAGAGTCCAGGCCCCCAGCCCATCCTCCCTCTGACCTAGGAGTTTGGGCCCCCAGCCCCTCCTCCCTCAGACCCAGGGCCAAGACCCACCCCAGCATCACTCCGGAACCCAGAGTTGGTGCCCCCAGCCCGTCCCTTTCCTGGAACTTTATGCCACTCACACAAGTTAGGAACCCCAGAATCTCTTTCTCTAACACTAAACCGCTCCCCTGAGGGACACAGGACTCGACACCTGGATATTTCAACTCCCAGGTGCTGCCCTCCTCAGGCCCTTTCGTGCTTGCTGTCCTCCTGATCCAGGTCAGACCTCCGGGCCTCACCTTCTCCCAGGTTTCCTGACCCTTCGGCTGCCTGCTGTGGTCAGTGCCCGGCACTTAGGGGCCATGCCAGCAGAGGCTGCCCAGGAGCAAGACCCGCCCCCACCTAGGGGGTCGTAAGTCCCCGCCCCTGGCCAAGTCCCTCCCCCCTGCCCCCTCTGGGGACAGAGCGACATCGTGTGTTGACTCCCAGAACTGGCTGTGGACAGGCATATGGCCCAAGCCCAAGAGCAGCCTGTCTTCTCTCAGACCCAGGAGTGGAGGCCCTCAACCCCCTCCTCCCTCAGACCTAGGAGTCCAGGCCCCCACCCCCTCCTCCCTCAGACCTGGGAGTCCAGGCCCCCAGCCCTCTTCTCCCTCAGACCCAGGAGTCCAGGCCCCTGTGGAGTATGAACTCATTTCTCTAAGCTGCCACTCCCTTGACCGCATCCCAGCTGCCCTCCATCAACGCCCCCACTGACAGGTCCGACACAAGTGTTTGAAGAGAGGTGTCCAGGGGACTAGACACTGGGGTTCAGTTTGGGGAAAGGATGAGACAACGAGATTCCAGAACGATGCAGTGAGAGATGACCTCAGATGTCCATCTGGAAGGGCAGGGCAGGAGAGGGTGGGAGCAGGTGGTGGAGCAACTGGGAAAGAGGGACCCTGAAGAGTGAGGGAGAAGGAAGGGGATGACTGTGTTCTGTGCCTGCCAAGTTTAAAGTGGATCGGGTGAAGCTAAGACCTGGACTCCTGGGTCTGAGGGAGGAGGGACTGGGGTCTAGAGTCCTGGGTCTGAGGAAGAAATAACAATAACAATAAAATATCAGGAATAACAACCACTATGGTCAGCACAAGACCCCGGGTGGCACAAATGCGCTGTACTACTAACTTCAAGTTTGGCAGTTCAAACCCATGCAGTGGCACCTAGGAAGAAAGGCCTGACTATCTGCTTCTGTAAAGATTATAGCCCTGCACTCCCTTTTAACTCAGTACTGAAGTCGCTCCTGAGGTTCACCCTTCAGCCAAAGATTAGACAGGCCCATAAAACAAAATGAGACTCAATGGGCACACTAGCCCTGGGGCAAGGACGAGGAGGCAGGAAGGGATAGGAAAGCTGGTAATGGGGAACCCAAAGTTGAGAAGGGGAGAGTGTTGACATGTTGTAGAGGTGGCAACCAACGTCACAAAACAATATGTATATGAATTGTTTAATGAGAAATTAATTTGCTCTGTAAACCTTCATCTAAAATACAATTAAAAATAATAATAAAGAGCATTTACTATGTGTTAGGCAAAAAAGAAAAAATAAAAGATTACAGCCATGAAAATCCTACCCACAGTTCTACTCTGTAACATGAGGTTGCCATGAGTTGGTATCAACAGCAAAGAGTTTTGTTTTGTTTCGTTTTTTTGGTGCTCATCACAGGGAGACTAAGCCAAGATCAGCCAGCCACTGACTCACGGTGGGACTTTGGACAAACTTGCTCCTTCCTCTGGGATGCACACACCCACCTCTCAGCTGCATAGTGAGAACACACTATGTTTTTATTGTGGTGACAATATATATAACAAGACATATGCCATCTCAACAATTTCTACATGTACAATTCAGTGACTTTGGTTACATTCTTCAAGTTGTGCAACCATTCTTGCTATCCTTTTTCAAATCACTCCACCACCATTAACATAAATTCAATGGCCCCTAACCAAAAGCATCCTCACTTAATTTTTTAAATAAACTTTTTATTTTGGGATAATTTTAGATTTACAAAAAAATTGCAAAGATAGTGCAGAGAGTTCCCACAGTATACCCTTTACCCAACTCCCCCTAATGTTAGCATCTTAGAAATTGACATTGGCAAGTTATTGTTAATTAGAGGCCAGGCTATTTGTATTTCACCCATTTTTCCACTAACATATATTTTTGATTCTAGGATCTAATCCAAGGTATCCACGGGATTTAGTGACCTGACTTTTTTTGTTTGCTTTTTATTGAGGTAAAATTCAGTAACATAAAATTAACCATTTTAAGGTGAGCAATTCAGTGGCATTTAGTACCTTTATAACGTTGTGCAACCACCACCTCTATGCAGTTTCAGAACATTTTCATCACCCCAAACGGAAACTGTGTCCCCATTAAGCAAGTTCACTTTTTTCCTTTTTTTAAAATAATTTATTTTATTTTGGTGGTTGTTGTTGAGAATATATACAGCAATACATACACCAATTCAACAGTTTCTACATGTACAATTCAGTGACATTGATTATATTCTTGGAGTTGTGCAACCCTTCTTACTTACCCTCGCTTTCTGAGTTGTTCCTCTATTGACATAAACTCACTGTCCCTTAAGGTTCCTATCTAATCTTTTGAGTTGCTGTTGTCAGTTTGATCCCATATAGACAGATCTTAAAAGAGAATAATGCTCAAAGCAGACAATTCTGTGCTAGTTAAGCTAAACTATTGTTTGGTTTTATGAAGACGTCAGGGGATATTTTTGGTTTAAGGTTTAAAGATTATCTCAGGGCAATAGTTTTGGGGGTGCAAACTCATTTTTGAATGTAGAAAGAATCTATAGTAAATTCCTGTGAAGACCCACACTTTCCCATCCACAGGTGTTTATTGAAGCTGTAACCTGTGCTTCACCCTGTGCTGGGTGCTGGGACACAATCTTATCCACTCAGCACTGCCCTTACGGACATAAACCACCACAAACCAGAAGCATATGTGCTTTCATGAAGGTTTGTTGTTGTTGTTAACTGCTGTCAAGTTGGCTCCAACTCATGGCAACCTTACATATAACAGAATGAAATATTGCCCAGTTCTGCACCATCTTCATGAACATTAGTATATTTAAGTTTATTGTTCCAGCTTTTGAGTCAGTCCATCTCATTGAGGGTTTCCCTAGTTTTCACTGGCCCTCTACTTTACCAGCCATGATGTCCTTTTTCTAGCAACTGGTCTTTCCTGATGATATGTCCAAGGTAAGCAAGCGCAGTCTCACCATTCTTGCTTCTGAGGAACATTATAGTTGTATTTCTTCTAAGACTGACTAGCTTGTTCTCCTGGCAGTCCATGGTATATTCAATATTCTTCACAAACGCCACAATTCGAATGCATCAATTCTTCTTCTATCTTCCTTTTTCATTGTCTGGCTTTCGCATACATACAAGCAGATTGAAAAGACCATGACTTGGGTCAAACACATCTTAGTCATCAAAGTGGCTTTCCCTTTTTAAACGTTAAAGAGTTCTTTTGCTGTAGATTGTCCCGATGCAATACGTCGTTTGATTTCTGGACTGTTATTTCCATGGGCGTTGACTGTCGATCCAAGTAGAACGAAATCCTTGACAACTTCAATTTCGTCTCCAATTATCATGATGTTGTTAATCAGTCCAGTTGTGTGGCTTTTTGTTTTCTTCACTTTCAGGTGTAACCCATAATTGGAAAGGATAAGGGAAGCACCCAGCAGAGAAGACACCAACTCAGCCTAGGTAAATAACAAGGTCCATCAGAACCTGTGCTGGCCCTTAGGAGCAAAGAGTCAGGAAGACAGACTGAGCTTAGATGATCACAAACCACAATGTTCTGTGCCCAAAAGGAGGTAGCACAGGGCGCTATGTGGAAGGTTCTAGAAATGAAGACCAAGTGCATCCTGGACAGTCTGAGATGGGAGGCAGACAAAAGATAGAGACATAGATCCCTGTGATACAAGCTTCCGAGAAGGACAGAGAGAACATGGTGGGGGCGCCATTTCCTGGACTCCTGGAGCTTGGAGAAAGGTCCTCTTAGTGAAGCGTTTATTGTTGTTGTTGTTAGGTGCCATTTAGTAGATTCTGACTCACAGCGACCACATGTGACAGAGTAGGACTGACCCATAGGATTTTCTTGGCTGTAATCTTTACAGAAGTAGATTGCCAGATCTTTCTCCCTCGGAGCTGCTGCGTGTGTTCAAACCACCAACCTTTTGGTTAGCAGCTGAGAGCTTAACCTTTGTGCCACCAAAGCTCCTGGCAGAGGGTATAGTATGTGCAAATTCTGTTGGCTGGAAAATGCGTGCGTATGTGTGTGTGTAGACTAAGGTCTAAAAAAGGTGAATGATTCTCCCAATGTCACCCAGAAAAGAAGACAGTGAGATTTACATAGTGTCGAATCCTGAAAGTTCAAAGTTTAGACCCTAGACAGTGGGGGCCACCCAGGGTGTTAGAGGAGAGGAGTGATCCCATCAGAACTCCATGATAAGCATTCCACATATCCCCACAGAACCGAAACTTATCTGTGGTGGGGGGGTGGGCAGAGTTTCCTTTCAAGAAGACACACTCAGAACAGAATGAAGAGGAAGAATCCTTGAGGGAGGATGAGCTTGAACTTCTGGGTCTGAGGGAGGAGGGAGCTGGGGGCCTGGACTCCTGGGTCTGAGGGAGGAGGGGCCTGGGGGCCTGGACTCCTGGGTCTGAGGCAGGAGGGGCTGAGGGCTCAGACTCCCAGGTACTCAGTTAGAAAGGGAATTGTACACTAGTGTCCAGCACTCAGTAGGGAGAGTCCAGTGTGTCCTCTCTGTCCTCCCTGAGTAGCTAGTTGTCTCTCTTATCCAAGTGGCTATTTGAGTGGGGGAGAGGCCTTTGGCCCCAGCTCCAGCTACCTGTCTCATTCACCTGGTTAGGGAGCTCCTTTATCTGTCCCCTTCCTCCCACCACTTTTGCTGTTCTCCTCATCTGTCCACTCCTCCAAACTTGATCCTCCCTCTTCTTCCTCCCCATCCTCATTGGATGGAATCCCCAAGCCCCCTGGCCACTCTCTATTCCCCTCCAGCCCCCAGTTATCCCCCAGGAAGTCCAGGACAGCTAGTGGGGGGCTCCTTGTCTCAGGGTCGAGGTCCAGGAGCCCCCGGAGCAACATCAGAGCCGGGGGCGCAAACTGGTCCCAGGGTGGTGGTGGCTGAGGTGGCAGGGGCCTGGTTGTCATCCAGCCAGCAAAGGCTTCAAACTCAGGATCGGGGGCCAGTGCCACGTCCCAAGGGAAACAGGCAGTGGCGGCACAGAAGAGAAGCACTCCCAGGCCCCAGGAGTCCAGGGATGGCCGCAGGGGCAGGGTGTCAGGTGGCAGGAGAAGGCAGAGCTCGGGAGGCGCAGAGGGCAGTGGAACCGGTGGGGCAGGGGTTGGGCTGCCCTCTGGCCGAGTCAGACCCAAGTCGCCCAGGGCTACACGGCTGCAGACAGGATCGAAGACCAAGACATTGTCTGGCTTGACGTCTGCATGGACCAGCCCCCGGCCATGGAGGAAGTCCAGGGCTTCAGCTACCTGGGCCACCACCCGTTTCACGAGCAGCTCTGGAAGGCCCTGGAGCCAAGGAGAGAAGATGAAGATCAAGGTGCTTTGGTCCCTTCTTTATTTTGCTTCTTAATCTCCCTCCAAAGAAGCTCTAGACTTCTAGGTCTCTAAGAGTTGTGGCTTCTGGGATTCAAGAATCCAGAACCCCAGATCAGTGGCTACCCTCACAACCCTCCAAGACTTGAAGATCATCCAAAACTACAACCTGCACCCATATTTGTACTCCTTTAGACCAACTCCCAGGTATTTTCCTAACTTGAACCCCATTTCTAACCAGAAGCCCCTTTTTGCTTCTTTCAAACATTTGCCTAACCCTAATACATACTCAAATCACTCCTAATATTTTTTATATGTCTCCTCTAAACTGACCAACCAGATCTTCTCCAATGGAAACCCAAATCCTATGCTTAACCTTCATTTTAGTCGCATACTTGTCTAGATCCCTTCTCTAGCTCAGACCCTGTTCTAAAGTCCCACAGCATAGGTCATCAACTGATTGATTAATCTCTCCATCCAGCTAGCCAGACAACGAGCAATCCATTCATCAAACCAGTCATCCATCCAACAAGATACTCACCAATGCATGCATTCAACACCCATTTGACCAGCTAGTCAGCAGTCCATTGATTTATCCAATTATTTAATATCTAACACCCACCCATCCTTCCTTCCATCCATCTACCCTTCTATCCATCCATCCTTGCTTCCACCCATCCACTCATCAATCCATCAATCTACTCATTCATCCACACTTTCTTACCTTCCTCCATCCATCCATCCTTCCTTTCTTCAGTTTATCCCCAACTCTATCTCAAATCCAAAGTCTGCCCCTAAAGATGGCCCACCTAATCTTCAAACTCAACTCCAACTAGAATCTCATCAATTCAGTCCTGACCTGGTCTCCAACTCAGTCATTACGTATCTCCAACTTACTCTATATACACATCCCCAACCATCTCTGCCTCCCTCTGCATTCTTATTCCAAGCTCTTCTCTTTACCCATTACCAATATATAATCAACCCCAAATGCAACCCACTCAACTCCATCAACACTCCACCCTCAATCCCAGTCCCAGCTCTGTCTCCATCCTCAACCCAATCTCATCCCCACCCCCATCATCAGACCTAATCCACCCTCAACGCCAATGACTCCCTACCCATCCAATTTCAATTGCATTTGTGTTTGGATGAGTAGATGGATTAGGGTTGGAGTCAGGCATGGAACTGCATTTAGAATTAGAACTAGGGAGGACATTTCGGGCTCAGGGTGGTCCTGGGATGGGTCAGAGTTGGAGATAGAAATGGAGCTTGGGACAGAGTTGGAACTGGGATTATCAGTCCCAACCTTTGTCCCCTGCCTGCCTCACCCTTTCCTGGAGCATCCCGCTGAGATCCCCGAAGGGTGCGTACTCCTGGGCAAAGGCGAAATATCGGGAGGTCTGCAGGGGGCCCGCCAGGGTCTGGAGCAGGCCTGGGTGTGAGGAGACGCAGCGGCCCACACAGAACTCTCTCAGGAAGGTGGTTCTCAAGACTGAGTCCCGACGCAAGAGCTTCAGAGCCACTGCAGGACCTGCCAGGGAGCCAGGGTCAGAGGGGCCCTCAGAGCACTCCGATTGCTATGGAACTTAGACAAGCCACTCAACCTCTCTGAGCCTCAGATTTCTCATGTATGAAATAAGAGGACAGGGCATAGGGTCAGGAAGAAGTCACTGGGTTGAGGTCCCAGTGATGTGACCTGGAGCTCCTTGACCTCCCTGTGGTTCCAATTTCTCCATCTGTGAAATAGGGATTGGAAGAGACTTTTCCTGCGGTGTGGCTTTGCACAATAGACTTACCCTCTCTGAGCCTCTGTTTCCTCTTGCATGAAGTAAGGGACATGGTGACTTGAGTTCAAATCCAAGTTCTGCTCCTGCCTTGTTGTGTGACCTTAGGCAAGTCTCTTACCCTCTCTGGGTGAGCTCCGTTTCTCGGAAGATCACTAAGCTCTTAACTTTCTGAGGGTCTCCATTGAAAAGGATTCCTGGGAGTGCCCCCCATCTTGGTGGCTTCCAGGAACTGATATTATGTGGACATTTGGGAGTCCACCTTTTGGTGTCCCAACTCACCCCCTCGGCGAGGCCGGGCAAGGAGCACGCGGCCATAGGAGCCGGAGCCGAGCTTGCGTATGAGGCGGTACTGGACATGAAGACTCCGCACCGAGGTCACCCTGGCGGCTGTCAGCTCCACGAGGCGCTGGAGGGTCGTGGCTGTGTCCTCCTGTGGGACAGGGACAGAGGCAGGGAGGGATGAGTCTAGGGCTTGCTGAGAGCAGAGGGAGAGGGGAACAGTGGGAGGAGCCAGAGGTCCAGCTCCGGGATGAGATAGGGGGCAGGGGAAGAGGGGTCACTGTCTCAAGAGAGGCCAATGAGTCACAATGACTCACCCAGCCTCGGGGACACCTGTTCTTGTGTCCTGGCGAGGCTAAGGGTGATTGTCTCAGAGACCCCGCCTTCCCCTATCTTTGGGACCCAGCCAGAGCCCCCAACACCAACTGGGGCTATGCCCTCAGCCCACACAGCCCCCAATCCATCCCGTCTCTCCCTGTGAGTCCCCCTGTGCTTCTCGTTCCCTGTTTCTGAGTCTATTTCTCTGGGAAGTTGCCTCTTCCTCTCTTCTAGGGTCTGCAGTAGGCTGTCTCTTTGTCTGGGTCTCTGAGATCTTTCTTTCTCTATCTTTCTTTTTGTTTTCCTCCGTCTCTCCATCTCTTTGATGCCATCACACTCTGCCCGTCTGTCTGCCTCTCTCTTCTTCTCTTGTCTTCCGTCTCTCACCTCTGCATCCCCATCCTCGGGGGTCTCAGGGTCCCTGAGCTCCATCTCAAGGTCACCTGGACAAGCACTATTTGTCTGGGTGCCCCAAAAAACAACCAGGCTGACTGATCCCAACCGTGCCTTGCCTCCGCAGCGGAACCGAGGCCTGGGAGTCCCTTGGGAAGGTCTGCCTCAGTCTCCCTCCAGATTGTCTGAATCTGCCCTGCTAGAACCCTCTCTCCAGACTCCTCTCTCTCTACTCAATTCTTCTCCTTTTAGGTCACCCTCTGTATCTCTGTGTGTTGTTCTGTTTATTTCTTTCGCTCCCTCTCACCTTCTCTTCCCCTGTCTTTAACCTCTCTCTGTCTCTCTTTCCTTCTACGTGAGTCTCTCGCTCTCTCTCTCTCCGTCTCACTCTGGGTTTCTTTCTCACTCTCTATGGGTCTCTGTCCCCCTCTCTGTCTGGGTCTCTGTCCCCCTCTCTTTCTGGGTCTCTGTCCCCCTCGCTTTCTGGGTCTCTGTCCCTCTCTCTTTCTGAGTCTGTCCCCCTCTCTCTGGGTCTCTGTCCCCCTCTCTTTCTGGGTCTCTGTCCCCCTCGCTTTCTGGGTCTCTGTCCCTCTCTCTTTCTGAGTCTGTCCCCCTCTCTCTGGGTCTCTGTCCCCCTCTCTTTCTGGGTCTCTGTCCCCCTTGCTTTCTGGGTCTCTGTCCCCCTCTCTCTCTGGGTCTCTGTCCCCCTCTCTTTCTGGGTCTCTGTCCCCCTCTCTTTCTAGGTCTCTGTCCCCCTCTCTCTGGGTCTCTGTCCCCCTCGCTTTCTGGGTCTCTGTCCCTCTCTCTTTCTGAGTCTGTCCCCCTCTCTCTGGGTCTCTGTCCCCGTCTGTCTCTCTTTTCTCCTGTGAGTCAGTCTCTCTCTCTCTCTCTTTTTGCTTTTCTCTCTCTCCCAGTCTCTCTCCTCACCCTACCCTCCCTGTCTGTCTTGCCCCCTTCTCTAGCTCTCGGATCTGGGGTAGATCTCCCTGTCCTGTCCCTGTTGGTCCCAGGTCCCCGTCCCTACACTGTGTGGCCACTGCAATCTGTCTATGGGGTCCCCTGACACTGTTTCCCCCTCCGCTCTCCTGTCTGTCTCTCTCTCCTCCCTGGTTCTCTGGGTGTCTCAGATTGCTCTCTGTGTCTCTGTGTCTTGTCTCTCCCTCTTTGTTCCTGTCTCTGGGAGCCTTTTGTCCTGCCCTTTCTCAGGGTGTGTGTGACAGCTCGACACAGAGACACCCTACCTCCCACACCCCCTCTGACCCGCTGCCCCCCCTCCCCCTTCCAAACTTAGACTAGCATGGACTCTGGGCTCAGGGCCCAGGACAGTGGGGACAAAACGACTGTGAACCCCCATAGGAAAGGCAGGAGGGAAACGGGGAAAGATGGACAGACCCTCACACACCTTAGCTGGGCAGACTGACCCAGGGCTCAGTGCACATGGCCTTCCTCCGGGGGCTGGGAGTCCTGGCCTCAGGATCAGGGTGCGCTTCCCAAAGCCTCCTCCCTCAAACCCAGGAGTCCTGACCCCCAGCCCCCTCCTCCCTCAGACCCAGGAGTCCTGGTCCCCAGCCCCCTCCTCCCTCAGACCCAGGAGTCCTGGTCCCCAGCCCCCTCCTCCCTCAGACCCAGGAGTCCTGGTCCCCAGCGCCCTCCTCCCTCAGACCCAGGAGTCCAGGCCCCCAGCCCCTTCTCCTTTCGACACAGGAGCCAAGACCTCCAGCCCCTTCCTCCCTCATACCCAGGAGCTAGCACAGGGAGAGCAGATGGGAGGGACGTCCTGGGGAGAGGGAGTATTTGCACATTCTTAGCACCTGCTATGAGCCCTGTGCTGGGGCTTTACACGGAATCCCCCCAGCAGCCCAAAAAGGTCAGAGTTTATCCCCAGTTTATGGGGAAGGAAACTGAGGTTCCGAGAGGCACATAGCCTTACAAAAGTTTAGAGCAGGAGGAGGAGATGTAGATCGGGGCCTGGGCCAGTGTATGTGACTCATTCCCTGATGCCTGTTCTACTCGTGTTTCCACTACTACTACAACCCCTGCTATTAATAAAAGAGCAACAACAACACTTAACGTAGATTCTGGAAAGATCCAGGGCAAAGTGGCTACCGTAGTTGCCTCTGGCAAGCTGGATGGGGGCTGGTGTGGAGATGGGGTGGAGACAGAGACCCTCCTTTGCTTCTGGACTATTTTGAGGTCTGATTATGAAACGTTGCAAAGATACAGAGAAGTAGAAAGAATATTGACTAGATTAAAAATGTTAACATTTTGCCGTATTCACTTTATCTTTCTTTTATTTTGGGCATGAGTATTTTACAGTAAGTTACAACATATTGAAATCTTTTGGGGTGAATGGAGTAGACTTAACAAATGTTTACATTTTTCCATATTTGCTTTATCTTTTATGGGGGCAGCATGAAGTATTTTAAAGTAAATTACAATGTATTGAAATCATTTTGAGTGAATTGCCTAGATTTAACAAATGTCAACATTTTGCCATATTCACTTTGTCTTTTTTTTTGAGGGACAGGAAGTATTTTAAAGCAAACTACAATGTTTTGAAATTATTTTGGGTGAATTGTCTAGATTTAACAAATGTCAACATTTTGCCATATTCACTTTTATCTTTTTATTTTTGGCATGAAGTAATTTGAAGTAAATTACAAAATTTTGAAATCTTTTGGGGTGGAATGATACCATGTCCTGCATTTTCTTTAAAATCCTTCAGCAAAAGGAAATCAAAGTATGTGTGTATAGGGGGGATGGGGAAAAATAAAGAAGAGCAGCAGAAATGTTGCTAATTGGGAATAAGGGAGTTCCTTTTAGTCTTCTATTTTTGGGTAAGCTGGAAATTATCCCTCATAAAAAACTAAAAGTTATCAACTATAGACATTGTGATAAATTGTGCCCAAACACTTGAGTGGCCATCTCTATAAAAGTAAGGAAAAATTTTGGCTCAACTGTAACACTATTCTCACACCTAAGAGCATTCATTGAAATTCCTTAAAATCAGCTAAGGTTGGTGCTGTTGTTTGTTGCTGTCGTGTTGACTCCGACTCATGGCGACCCCATGTCTGCAGAGTAGAACTGCTCCATAGGGTTTTCAAGGCTGTGACCTTTCCGGAAGCAGATAGCCAGGCCTTTCTTCTGAGGTGCCTCGGGTGGGTTCAAACTGCCAACCTCTCACCTAGGAGTTCAGTGTGTAACCGTTTGCACCACTGGAAACCCACTGCCCTGCAGTCGATTCTGACTCATAGTGACCCTGTAGGACAAGGTAGAACTGCCCCATATGGTTCCAAGGCTGTACATTTTTACGGAAGCAGACTGCCACATTTTTCTCCTGCTAAGCAGCTGGTGAGTTCCAACCCACCGACCTTTCAGTTAGCAGCTGAGCCCTCAACCACTGCGCCACCAGGGCTCATTTTGCACCACCCAGTGACTCTAAAATCAGCTAATACCCAGTCGGTATTCAGTTCTCCCCAAGTTTTCCAAGAAATGACCTTTACTGCTGTTTTAGTCAAATTGGGAACTAATGTCTACCCGTGGCTTTGGGGAAACGTCTTATTGCTGAGTCTTTTGCATGACTTGCTTTGTTTCCCATGAGTATGTGCTACATTTGCAAAAGTTAAAAATAAAATAATACTATTTTGGACTATTTATCTAATGCTTACTAGATGCCAGGCCCTGGGTTTTTTTTTTTTTTTTTCAATCCAAGACCTCATGGAATCTTTCCAACAAGCCCTGGGTGATGATTTCCAATTCACCGATGGGGAAATTGAGGCTGGGAGAAGCAGAGGCACAGCCCCGGAGAGGCACAGCCAGGATTCCCTGAGGGTCTGGGAACTCCAGGCCACTCTCTGGTCCCTGCCCAGGCAGCTTCTGGGACACAGACCCCAGGTGCTTGGATGGAGCCGGGTGCCTCTGCTGGGAGATGGGGCGGCTGTGCATGTGGGGGCCGCGGGGGTGCAGAGCAGCTGCTAGGCTGCAGAGAAAGGTCAGGCTGGCGAGCCGGCCATCTGGGTCCTCCAGTAGGAAAGTACGAGGGGACGTTACAGACCTCCAGCCCTGTACTGTTTTTCCCTCGGAGGCTCACTGATGATCCGGGGAGCTTTGCACCTCCCCATTTAGCAACCCGGCTCCGCGAGGTCACCCGGAGTGACCTCTCAGGAGGCAAGTGTGGGCGGGGAGACGCTCTGGTCCGGGCTCCAGGGCGCACACAGCCCAGCTGCCTCGGGCCGCCACCGCCTCCTGTCCCTCCTGCCTGCAGGGCCTGGAGGGCCGTTCCTGTGACCGCTCCTGGCTCTGCTATCTCCCAAGTGTCTGATGCCCTTCATGTCTCAGTTCCCTCCTGTATAAAGTGAGGGTAGTTACACTGCCCACCTCGGGGCGTTATTGTTAAAGAAACATTTAGTATTTATAATATACAATATACTGTATTACATTTAACCAAAACCAAACCAGTTGCTATGGAGTTCATTCTGACTCGTGGTGTCCCCATGTGTGCAGAGCAGAACGTGCTCCATAGAGTTTTCATGCTGTGTGACCTTTTGGAAGCAGATCGCCAGACCTTTCTTCCGTGGTGCCTCTTGGTGGGTTCGAATAGCCAACCTTTTGGTTAACAGTTGCTTAATCATTTGCACCACCCAGAACTCCTTAATATATATAATATACTACATACATAATATATATGTGTGTATAATATGTTACATGTGTAATATATAGTATTATTATATATAATTTACATTATTATTTAATTTAAGGAAACCCTGGTGGCGTAGTGGTTAAGAGCTACGGCTACTAACCAAAAGGTCGGTTCAAATCCATCAGGCACTCCTTGGAAGCCCTATGGGACAATTCTATGTTGTCCTATAGGGTCACTATGAGTCGGGATCGACTCGACGGCAACAGGTTTGCGGGGTTTTTTAAATATATAATTTATACGGTAGTATATATTATATATAAAATTATCTGGAACCCTTGGGTAACACAAACAGTTAATGTGCTCAGATACTAAAAGAAAGGCTGGCAGTTTGAGTCCACTC